CGCTGTATATTTGATCAGATCTGTTTAAATGCGCTAGAATCTGCAATGACACGCATATATTTTCCGATTAATTCAACAGCCATGGATTTTGAAGTATTAAATCTCGATATATTTCAGCCAAAGTCACGCATCCAACAGATTATCAATCAATTAATGGTTAATCAATGGCAAGAAAACGTGTCATTCAACTCGTATTTCGATCAATGTAAACCAGCTGTTTGCACATACACGTTTCGCAAGAAATTGGATTTAACTTATGTCATAACAACTTTAATTGGACTTTTGGGTGGTTTAGTTACCACACTGAAAAATATTACACCTACTATTGTTAAATATCTACGTAGAAAACGAAATACCAATGAAATAAATATTGGTAAGCAACATACTCTTTTTCGTTTATTTTATGAAGCAATCAATCACATAAATCACGAGGTGAATAATTACACTAACTTGAGCTGATTGGAAAATGAACACGAGCTAAAATTCACTTTTCCGTTACAGGTCCAAATTTTTGCCAGACTGAGATCACTTCTTTGATCTGCATTCTGTTTTTTTTGTCGTATAATGTGAAAAATGCACCGTAGACAGCTCACGTCGCAAGGACCTATTAGAAAACGTGTCACAAACGTTGAATATATTTGTAAAAAAATTCACGTTTTTGACACATTCTCTACGTTATGCGAGGGAAAAGTTTAGAGTGTGCCGCTAATTAATTCGGAATCTTTTTAGCTAATTGAGCAATAATTTCCGTGATGGTGAGTATAGAACTGTACGAAAAAACTGGTGAAAAATACCAAGTAGGTCAGATAAACACTGATACAGGCAGGTCCAGATAGAATTTTTTATATCAACCAATGATCGCAGCTTAGCAAACACCGTTTGTGAGTCTGAGGTGTTGCCTCAAGAGCGAGCTTCTATTAATATAAGAAGATTGTTTGGCCTGTTGAACTAAACAAAGATGTTGCATAAACAAAATAATCATCAGGCAATCAGTATTATCAAATGTGACACTCTCCAAGAAAGACCAACTATATCGACTAAAGTACTGTAGGGCACGCCTTTTTTGCCTCCTGTTCACTACTCGGTAAAAACTTCTTTAAGCTATGAAAGCGTAGATGTCGGTGTGGCGTGGTGTGGACGTGGCCGTGTGAGAGAAGAGAGATACACCTACATCCACATCTATCCTCACCCACACCCACAATATAGATTCAACTTGCAGTTCATTTTTGCCATTTAGCTCACCGCGACACAAGTACTCAAAGGCTTACAGTCAAGGAACTGAGTAAATCGATAGATGAACACTGCTTGTTAGCGAAGGATCTTTTGAACTAACTGATCGATTAAATATTGTCGCCTTCACACCTTCATAGGATCGATTTTTGACTATTTTTAGAGAACAAACTGAGAGAAATCAAGCTAATGGAAACTAGTCATGATGACACAGTCAAAATTTATTTTCTTAGATCTTGAGAATAATAGGAAGCATCTGAACCAAAGTTTCACATATATCTATCTCATCATACAGAATGCAAAGATGGTTGGCTATGTGCTCATAAAGACTTTCTTAAAAGGAAGTTCAAATCATCTATTTTTTTATAGTTATGCCATATCGTCGACAATTGCAACAGATCTGGGAGAACGTTAAAACTTATTTCAAGACACTAAACATATTTCGGTGGAATTTGTCGACTGATCCGCATGAAATAGAAACAGAGATCACATCTACTCGAGTACTGATCGTTCTATTCATTTTATCGCTCATGATCTTATCATTCTATTTGTCTCTGGCGGTCGTGAGTAAGACCGTTATTGTTAAATCTCCTTCGTTCTTCGACTATAACCGTTTAGTGGTTGAACATGATGCAATACAATGTCCATGCTCAAATATTTCCATTCCCTACGGTGTATTTATTCAGATCAGTGCTGATTATCATCAGATATGTCAAAGTGATTTTGTTCAGCAATACTGGATCAAATATTTATCCGACGCAGTCGGTTGGGTTACATTTCTGTACGACAATGACGATATTTCACGCAAATCTAATATAGATTTTCATACAGTCGCCGGTAAATCCATGAATTTCTTTTCCAGTTTATGTCAGTATGTAAATGAAACTCTATGGAAAGGCGTTAATATCCTGTACAATTCAAGTTATGTCTCTACTCAGATGATCAGTGAACGATTGTTTCTTTTAGAAATTAATTCCACCATCGATCAGTTTATTCTGGAAACGACTCATTCATTCATCAACGTACTAAAGCTAATACAGAGCACCACCAGTGCAAATGTATTGCAAACAGCGGAAAAAACTGATTCCTATCCAATGTTTGTGGCCGGAAATTTACAAGCAATCTCGGTTTATCAAACTTATGGCGGCAAAAATTGTTCTTGCCAATATCAAACAGCTGACTGTTATCAAGAGGCAGCGTTTTATCGCTCTAATATTCAAAATCATACACTAGACTACATGTTTTCCGCGGGCAATTTCTACAGCGGATGTTATATACTAGAATCATTGCGACATTCAACATTACAGTTTTTCTATAACCAAACCACTATTGACCATTTACCCGATATTTTAAGCATACCAGGTTATATACTTATACCCGATAGAGCCAGAAACTCATCGGCTTTGAATTCATCATTGAACAATCCAGAGGAGACCGTTGGTCAAATATTGGATCGTATGTTGGTGGATCGATGGAACCGACAAATCTTCTATCAATCATATTTTGCTCAGTGTAACCCTGTTGAATGTACGTACACGACAAATGAACGAAATGCACCTGTATACATCGTTACGACACTATTTGGACTCATTGGTGGCATCCTTACCATATTGAAAATCACTGTACCACATTCAATTCGATTCATCAGAGATACGCTTCAATCTTGGGTTAGACGAAAATTACGCAAGACAGTAACACCAATCACTACACAGTCCAAGTTCGATGACGCAAACATTTAACATTTTTCGAAGCAACCAAACTATCAATTCATTGTCGATTATCGTGGATCGATGGTGCGGACGTGAACGCGAGAAATAACTATTAAAATAAAATGATTTTGGCCTTTTGAACATCATTTTCTAAAAACCAGAGGCGTCATACTAACAACACTGTGAATGACGAGCATTTTCGACTTTTATTCTAGCGAACTTTTTGTTTATACTTTTTAGAAGTGCCATATTGAAATTTACTTTTTGGCGTGTTTGAAGTGATCCCATCTGTTTTTCCTATTTGAAACACACACTAACAAACGGGAAGAAACTAGGGTGTGGGCGTGGGTGCGGGTGTGGGTGTGGGTGTGGGTATGGGTGTGAGTCTTCTTTTAAACGACACCCACACCAATATCTACTCCCACACCCCGCACCCACACCCTACACCCACACCCAGACTCATCCATACCCACACTCAGTATATACATTTATGTTGTGTTATGTATCTGATTTTCGTCTTTTGGGACTAAATTTTCTGGCATTTGTCGAAGCTTTCTTTCTACTCTCTCAACACAAACATTCAACTTCTTGTAGTCTTCTTGAGAGTGTCATTGAGCTGGTCGAGTCCTGTGTGCAACACTTAGATGTCTATGTCGAAGAGTCTCCCTAGCCACTGGTCTAAACATCGAATCAAGATTTTCTGCAACATATTATCCACTATACTAGTCCGCAGATTGTACATGTATTATCGGTTCATTAGCAAGAACAAAAAATTAATCACTAACAAAAACAATAAATATTAAGACACTTGTTGAAAAGATTGGTTTAATTTTGTTCACTGATCAGTCGAGAAGATTCGTAAATGAGGGTGTGGGTGTGGGTATGGATGTTGGTGTAGGTCTTCAGTAAATCCACACTCACACCCAAATTTCCTCACATTTTATATGAACATATCTAGATATCTTAAACTGAGAAGAAGATTCTCGCTCTTGAAAATGATGGAAATTTGCCAGTAATTACTGAAATTTGTAGAAATCTCGATATTTTTTTAAACTAGAGATCTCTGCTCGTCTAGATTTCAGTTCTACGTGATTACATTTATGAATAGAAAAATTACGAAATGTTCTAGTAATTACTAGAATTTCTAAAAATTCTCGTTGATTTGAGATAAGGAGTCGCTATTTACTATCGATTTTATTTTGTATCTATACCTATAAGGATTGAAGAAATTACAATTATGTTTGATGTATGTTGATAAATTTCAGAAATTTCTAGCAATTTGCCGTATTTTTTCAACGACATTGTTTTATACTATGTAAAATTGTTAGAAATTCCTGTATTCACTGAAAATCTCTTTTACGATGTGGAATGGTTTCTAAAATTCGATGATTTGTTACGAAAATGCTTTTTTTCTGAAATCTGAACACCGTTGGATGAGCGTTTACATAAACATTTGAATCAACTCATTCTATTGAATCTCAAATTTCTTTTTTATTATTCCTTTTTGGACTTCTAAATAAGAGAATTTTAACTTTAACTGTCTCATGCAATAAGGATTGAATAAAAGAATCAAAAGTTATTCTTATTCCCTCGACTGTATGGAGGGTCATATGAAATAAAATGCGTTTGTATGTGTGTATGTATGTATGTATGTGTCAGGGTCAAAAGAACGATTCGCTGTACTTTGGCCGAAAGTGAAAATGTCGAAAGTAAAAATATCGAAATGAAAATGTCGAAAAAAGTCGAACGAAACAAATGTCGAAAGGAACAATATCGAAAGGAAAAATACCGAATGGTGAAAATAACGAAAGTAAGAATGTCGAAAGTAAGAATATCGAAAGCAAAATACCGAAAGTAAAAATACCGACGGTCAAAATGTCGAAAGTAAAAACGTGGAAAGTTGAGGTGAAAATTTCTCAACATTTGCATGCTAGGAAAATTAAAAAAGCAAGCAGCTAAATTTGAATCAAATGTTTATTATTTAAAAAGAAAGAATAAAATACAAGAAAAACGTTTTGATATACTGCATAATCGACATTAAATAATTTTTTTATTGAATAATCATACTTTTTTTGCCACAAATAAAGACAAACCATTGAGGAGATCAGATGCTGTAATGAGGTAGTCACGATATCGATCATATAACATGTTTATTCGATTTTGTAATGTTGTTGTTCGTTTGTTTTTTGGTTTTGATGCACCTGAAGACCATTGAAGTTTAATGTTTTGTACACGTTTTTCTTCAGCTTTCATAAAATTGATTAAATCCCAAATATTTGGATGATGACGATAAATACGGGAATTCATTCGGTTGTGATATCCTGCAATTAAAAAGAGTAAATTGGTCGTTTTACGTTATGAAAAATATACATTACCTTCACAAACATTGTTGGTTCTACTATCCAACCCAAATACATTCCAAAGATTGATATCTGACATCCAATTGTTATCAAAATATTGCAACAGTTGAATCATTGGTTTACCGGGTAAATAATCAGCTGCTTCACGTATTTCATCAAACCCATATACAATTTTATCATGTGGCATTAATGGCAAAGCCATCAACTTTCTACATAAAGCACGTAATGTATCATCAATCATATATTGTTGTTGCAATCCAAGTTGTTGAATCCGCCTGTACACAGCTTGACACATATGAAAATAACAACAAATATGTTTGGCTGCTGGAAACTGAAAGATAACGAAGTAGAACAGTAAGCTATATTTTTGCGATTAATGTATGTGATACTAACCTCATCTTTTACTGCAGAAATCGCACCAGGCTCGAAATCAGTCATGATAACTTTTGGTGAAAAAACACTTCCTTTTTGTAAAGCAGCATTTTTTAATTCATTAAAAATCACTTTATATGTTGATGCTTTTTTGTTCAACAACAATCCAAACACGCATGGCACACCTTAAAAAAAATAAACGTACCATTTCAAAAGGATAATAAGAGTCCTGCTTACAGATATCGAAATGAACTACATGAATTATATATATCTGAGTAAAATGATCTGGAGCTTTTTTATAAGTGCCATCCATGTAAATTGTTGAAGAATTGAATAATAAATCCAGCTGAACATCACTTGCAAAAAGCAGCAAACGTTCACGTCTTATACGACATTCATCAAAAAATAAAAATCTTTTGTTTTCAATAGTTGACTTGAATTCTTCAGGAATATCAAATGTGAATGAATCTGGTATTGGTGGTATCACTTTACGTCGATTTTTAGCGGCACTATGATCTAAAAATACAGGTATTCATTCATTAATTATTACTTGTAAAACAACTTACAAATTTCATTTATTGTTGGAAATATGGCTATTGCTACCGAATTCATAACAGTTTTTGACATCTCTTCGTCATAGATTTTTCCAATAGGTGTTTGTTCATTGATTACACGTTGTTTTATTTGTTCACGAGTTTTTTTGACTTCAATAAATTCTGGATTTGGTGAATGACCATGTTCACTTTTACCACCAAATAAATAATTGTTATTTATATCAGTATGAACGTATATGTTGCAATTCTTAACTATACATGTCCAATATTTTTTAATGGAAGTTTTTTTATTACATTTATATACATATTGATTCATTACTAAAAGTGGTTGTCCTTTATTCGAGATAATGAAATTTATATCATTGTCGACGGTCCGCGACTGTTCACCAGTAACTTCCATCTTCTATTTATTTCTCAAATAATAAACAATCGATCGTTATTGTTTCTTATATATTCATTGCACTGAATGACCGACGGTCTGACTGACCAATGATATATTTAATAGAACATAATCCAATATGGATTATGCAATAATGACATCTTTCTCGATCATCTCCCAAAACAGCCGTTCTTCGAATATTTTACTTTTATATTTTTAAACTTTTTCAATATTTTGCTTTCGACATTTTTACTGTCGATATTTTTACTTTCGACACTTTTATTGTCGATATTTTTATTTTCGACATTTGTTACTATTTACTTTCAGCATTTTTACTTTCGACATTTTTACTTTCGACATTTAACTTTCGACATTTTTTTTTTCTACATTTTAAGTTTCGGCCAAAGTTGAGATTACCAAAAGAACATCAAAGGTCAAAAAAAAACATCGTCTGAAAGATAAATGATCCATTCTTTTCTAGATCTACCTTCTGTAAAGTTTGACCAAAGGTTTTCGGGGTCAAGGGATCGAATGGTATCATTAGTTTTTGAAAATTTTCAAATAATTTTTTTTGCTAAAAAACTCTTGTATAGCATAAAGGCAAAATTTTCTATGCAGTAGTAATAAGATAAATTTTTGTTTTAATTTTTTAATTCAAGAAGTATTTATAGAAATGAAAGTTTGTTGAATTTTTTTCTATAATGATAGTTTTAGAATAGTGGAAACATGTTAAACGAGAAACTTGTTTTTTTTAGATTTTGGTGTATAAATTTTTGTTTTGTTGTCCAATATTTGATCTACATGGTCGTCAACTCTGTATCACGATGGAGATGTGATGCGCGAAAACTAAATCAAAATGAATTAGTAACATTAGGTTAGCGGCAGTAATTCACAATAGCCATCAGCTGTCAGTGATTATAATCAAGGATATCAGCTAAAGACGTCATGAGCATTAGTAAAAGAAATTGCGCCGACATTTTATCAAAATTAGACTAAAGCTGTTTTTTTATTTCTAATTTTTAGTTTCTTTCATTTATTTCCAAAAGTAGATATTTCGTCAGTTTAAAAATGTTCATATGAAGTGAAATGCAATTACAGATTCGAATTCCTCGACTCGATAACCATTGGCCAAACTTTATAAAAAAATCATTTTTTTCATAAAAAGGCCCTTCTTTGTCCTAAAAAACTCAAAATGAAAAACTTCAAAAAACTAATCACGGATTCGAATTCCCCAATCCCGATTATCTTTGATCAAATCTTTGGTGTATTTGTTTTCTAATATCACACCTCATCATTGAAGACATTAGCGAACGAACGCACGCACGCAGTTAGGAACAAACGTAGCTAACTCATTCGGCGTATGACCCTCCCTTCAGTAGAGGGAATAACGCCTAATATGTATAGACAGCTAGGCATTTAGAATAGAGAAGAAAAAAGAATATAAAGAAGAAGATGAGCATCGAAAACAAATTTCGATCTAATATCACTGTTACACATCATAACAAACAGTTCTTATTGAAAGTTGATTAGTATAATATTAATTGAAGAATGATCAAATATTAGAGAAATGTAAAATCTTGTTTTTACTATCAGACTTTAAAGAGAGAAAAAAGTTTCTTTAAACCTTTGTATAAGAAAATAAAGTACCTTTGCCACTAACTTTGGTATGTCATAAGTAATTAATAATAAAGTTTAAGTCAAATATGGACTGTCTAGATGAATTATAGTGCTAATTACAATATTGTATTCAAAAAAAAAAAGAGATTCTTGCTTTTGTGTACATTGATCAATCATTTGTAAGAAAATGTCCTATTATTGTAGTTTTTAGAATTTATTACAAACATATAAAACATGTATATATATTCTATCATTAGATTTCTGTTTATTTTCTAAAGAAGTAAGGAAAGTTTTCCATTGACTGACTAAAGTAGGAATGAAATGTCTTTGCTGTGGACAAGGAAAATAATTATAATTTCTACTATCCTAAATGAAGCAATTTATGATGATTAAGTCCAAATAACATAGCACCAAAACTAATAACTGAACCAACAGTACGAACCAAATGAAGCATAGCCCATTTATCTAATAATCCTTTTCTTATACTAACATTAATTTGACTTTCACTTCCTGATTGAACACGTTTGTTATCTCCAATTATAAGTTTATTTGTTGGAAACATAAAAATAACTGTATATGGAAGTATGCCAAGAAATATTGTTCCAGTAGTAATCCATAAATTACGATAAAATGGTGCATGAATAACATGTGTTCCATGTAAGAATGATAAAACTTTACAAATCGTAGGTAATGTTTTCTATAAAGTCCATCATTGCTTTGATACTGGTGGTCGAATACAATAGCCCTTTCCGTCATTTGAAAAAAGAATATATTAATATTTATCGAATGAAAAAAATTCGCAGTTCACAACAACGAACACTTTTGAAAAGAAATTTGTTCATAATTCAAAAGTTTATACAAAAACCAATGTCGAGAAAAACGTGTGAACATTTTTTTGTATATTTACCTAAAGAACTTTTTCATATGAGCATTAAATATGGTTAAATTACGTTCCAATTAAAAATTCATCTAGAGTCTTATTGAATAGCCTTCTAGCTACACGTTGAGTTATAATTGCAATAGCGCTCCTAATTTTCCTATCGATATGGTATTAATCGTTTCACTGGAGAGCTGTAAAAACTCATCATGATCTCTATCGAAAACTTTTAAAATTGAAAGGCATGCTTATGAATTTTCAAATTAGATATCTTAGATGTAATGCCTATATGTTTACCTTGAAGAATGTCTTTTTTTTTCTTTCTAGAAAAATCGATTTTTTTGTATGGGAGAGGTCTTAAAAGTGTTACATTTTATAACACAATTTTGATTCTTTTTGTTGACAATGAAATTCGCATGAAAATTTACGACCAATGGTGACCTCTATATCTTAGTAATTTTCATGTTTTATCAAATCGAACGTTCCACCAATATGAACAAACGTTTACTAACTAACTTATCGTAAATGAAAAGCAAATCATAAAATACCTATTCATTTCAATCAGTCTTTTATTTATTTCGATCTAGTCATTCATCTCATTTTTGAGATGTTCTTTTAAATAAAAAGAATGACAACAGAAAATATTTCACCATTGTCTTCAACTTCGAAAATTTATCATCGACAAAATAAATTTAAAAAAAACAGTGAAAATACTTCACCAACCAATGTTAATGATTGGAGTAAATATATTTTCTTTTTAATTAAATTTATTTTTGATTATTCCTAGCAATAACATTTTGTATAATTGGTTCTGCTTGTTCAAATAAACGACTTCTATCTTCACTTGAAGATCGTTATGTATATGAATGTATTCATGATGAACGAGAAGTAATTCGTACATTAACTGAAACGAAAATTTTATTATCACAACGACAATTACGTATTTATATTGTTGATTCATTTGATGATTCTATATTTCAATATTTAAAAGACAATGAAGATATTTATACAATTAGTTCTGAACTTGTATTATCATGTGCAGAAAAAGAAATTGTAAAAAACAAGAAATAAAAAAATTTCTTTTACTATCTAAAAATTATAATTTTAATTTCTTTAGGATATTCCTGTACCAAGAAGAAATCGACCATTATATTGTCAACATTTATCTTCAGCTGTCATATGTTTTGTTGGAATTCGAAGAGATACACATGTAAGTTAAACAAAAAATATTATTATTTTTCTTACATAATTTGTTTTTAGACGGAATTAAGTGATTTTGTTCATTATCTTGGTGGATCTGTACGAAAAGATTATAGTGATCAAGTAACACATGTTATATCACATGCAAATATCGGTGAAAAATATCTCGTAATGAAATTTTTTTTTATTAAAATATGTATGATGATGTTGATGATTTTGTTAATTATTTAGACAGCGTTTAATATGGAAAGAAGTGAAATTTTAACAGAAGAATGGCTTTTACGTTGTTGGCATGAACGAAATAATCGACAATTTAATTCATTTGATTCTGAACTTATTCGAATGTATCGTGCTAAACCATTACATAATCTTAATTTATTCTTTTTTGGTTTTAATAATGATAATGAATTACAACATTTACATACTTTAACCAATGAACATGGTAAATTCTTTTTTTTTATCTTTGCGGTTATTGTATAAAATACAAAATATTACATCTTACAGTTAGAATATTCAATTTAAGAAAAAAAACAAATCTGTATTTTAATTTTTCTAACAAGGAAATTATTCCAATTATAATCCGCTATTTGCACTCAGGGTGTGAGTGTGGGGTATAGATGTAGACAAGACAAACACTCACAATCATTCTCAACACGTGGACAAAATATCATTGAAAGCGACGTAAATCAGTTGAGGACCTTCACTTGTCAGTAGAACAAGATGTCATGTGTTGTATAATCTTTTCTTCTACTTCACCGACTTTTCTTTATTGACATCGGATAGCCAGTGTATCATTATCGGCGTTCAATAATGATGTAAAGGTCGCGGGTTGTATGTATAAGAAAAAAATTCTACCACATAATCATATTGTTCCAACTACGAAATGAAACGAAGAAAAAAAAGGATTGAGAAATTGATTTTCTCAAAAGTAAAAGAAAATTAGTCAATACTCGGGTCTGGTTACAAAAATTTGATCCATATCGGACACTGTTCTATATGCCGAATATGAGTATACAATCATGATAAATCACTCCGGATGGCTTTCTCGTAAAATGAAAACATTTCTATTTATGCATCGGATAAATTAAATGAAAATCTTTCTTTTTAGGTGGATTTATAACAAAAGAAATGAATGAAGCAACACATATTGTTCTTTCTGATATAAATTTATTTATATTGACATATCCATCATATACACGTAAAAATCGACAATATATTGTTCATGTACAAGTATGTTTTAATTAACAAAAATAACAAACAGATTAAAATAATATAGAATATTTGAATTTTAGTGGTTTTGGGAATGTTTATGTTTAATGGGAAAAGCTGATGAATCAATGTATATAGTTAATTTAACTAGTAATCAATCAACAACACCAGATTCTTCGTTATTATTACTTTCTCCATCAATACATGGTGATAGTCCATTACATGATTCATCATTAAATACGACTATTAAACGAAAACGTCGACATAAACATTCGTATATAAATGAACAAATTGATAATACACCAAATTCAAAACGTTTTAATAGTAGTATTAATGAGAATGAAAATTTATTAGATGATAATATTGTTATAGGTAAATTACAATGAATAATTTTCGAAATACAAAAAAGAAAAATTTTTATTTATTATTGTAGAAAAACAACAAAATATTAAAAAAGATAATAAATATTTAATTGGAATGGAATTAAGAGAAACGGAACGAAATTATGTTACAATGTTATCAAATATTATTCGAGTAAGATTGATATTAGACTATAAAAAAGAAAACTTATATATAAACAAAGAATAATGATGACTAGTAGAATGAATCTTAATATTTGAAATTTATGATTTTATACAATACTGATCATCAGGTTGGCTGTAAAAATGTTGAAAAGTGTTTTAAAACATTCTAACAGGAATCAAACATAAATCAATAGATAAAAAAGACAAAATTTATAATGTCACTTTTCTATCATTTAAATACTTTATAGCAATTATGATATCATCATTATATCGCTCATCAAACTTATTCATACGATGTTGAATTGCAATGAAATAGCTGATGCTTTTAGTTGAATTAAATCCGATGAAGATAGAGCAGCTGTAGTCATGATAATAGAATTTTAGTTGTATAATAGTTCTTTGCCGGATTCATTTAGTTAATCTATATCAGGTATTACTTATCAACATTATTACTGGTTACTAGAGCTCATCAAATCGTCTGTGGAATATACTAGGCGTCTCAGTGACTGAATACAACAAGACCGGAAAAGGTATGTCATACTTTCGGAGCGACTATCCAACTGTATATTCATACTTTAACCGGCGTCTACTGACTGGAAAATAAATCAATTGCAATGAAGGCATTATTATTATCAGATCCACATGAACTGAATTTTATTACTGATTCTACAATTAACTTTTTATATTTATCCATCTATAGAGATAGTTTTCTGGAAGAGCTTGAAAATCTCTAATATCCTATATATTTCTCTTTTGTCTTGTATTCAATTTTCTGATGAATAAAATGAAATGTAAGATAAGCACACTCATTGAGAAACCTTTCAAAACATTTTTTGAAGTAGTATTCTTATGAGATAGATTTTTAATAGTATAATTTCATATGCTGATCGAATTTGAAATTCCCTATCATTCTAAACTTTTGAAATGAAAAAAAAAGAAGAAAGAGGTAGTTGTAAAACCTAGATTTTTAAAGTTTGTCAACGAGTATGTCTAGATAATACCTACAGTATTCATCAGAACATATAAATATAATTTTTTTAGAGACCTATTTCTATAGCGATGATAAATTCAAAAAGTTAATTGGGGAGACGATGAATATGTGAACCTGAATTTTCTCTTCGCCGATACCCTTCTCCCTTTGATGTGTTCTAATCGACCAATGTTTCGTACTGAGAGCAAAATTAGGTTTAAAGAAAAACTCAGTGAAAACTGAAATACGTCAAAAGTATCAAGTCTCATTAAGCTCAATATTTTTTTTTATGGTTTCACTCGTCATATAGTTAAGAAAACATCTATGCGTGCTTTTTGGAAAATATTATTTCATTATTTAGACAATTGAATTTTTCGACATGATAGCAAAATATGTCAAATATAAGTGACACGGTGGCTTTTAGTTAGAGAACGAGATCTATGTAGGCTAGTAGGGGAAAACTTCCTTTATCTAACGGTGTATCGTCAAGATATGTCAATAGGCGGTGCAACCTCTGTGGTATTCGACTGTTGACGTCTCGAGAGTACCCAATGAAACTTGATAAGACATAGAGGAAGTCTTTCTAGGTGAACCACAGATCAAATTATTCGAAAAAAACAGCATGAAGATAAAAGGAATGAAATTTAACGAAAATTTGTTTTGAATATGGAGTGTATGTACTATTCGATGGAAATTTATTTGCTGATTTTGAATACGAATCTGGATTTATCATGTTTTTTCATCATATCGAAAAAAATCGATTGTCTCAATAATCGAACTATATTTTTTGAAGAACCATAAATAGATTTTTTTTTCTAGAATATGTCAAAAAGACATTTTACTTGAATTACTAGTATCCTACAATCATACGGAGATCTCTATGCAGTATACTTATCATTTACATTGTACAATATTGTTGAATTTTCTTTTTTTCAAATAGATTTTCAAAACCGAAATGGAAAAAGATGATCGTCGAAATGGTCCTATTCTTACAAAAGTTGAAAGTACACAAATATTTGGTAATATTGAAGAAATCTATCATTTACATTTATCTATTGCTGAACAACTTGATCGAGCTATAAATGAAGATGAATGTATTAGTTCAATATTTTTAACTAATGTTAGTATCTATAAAATCTTAGAAAAGAAAATATTTTGTTTTTTTTTTTTGTTGCAATGTTTAGTCTGTTGAACTTTTACGTGTTTATCAACCATATACAAAATTTTATGATAAAACAATTGAAGCAATTCATACATTAGAAAAAACTAATCCTCGTTTTTATGCTTATCTTAAAGTAATTTTCTTTTTGTTTTTTTTTATTGGAATAATATAATCTAATAAAATATATTTATATTCAAATAGATTTGTGAACATAAAATTGAATTAGGTAAACAACATTTAGCTGATTTAATGATACGACCTATTCAACGTTTACCAAGTATATTATTATTATTAGAACGTTTACTTAAATATACATCAATAACACATATTGATTATCAATTATTAATTGATTCATTAGATAAATTACGTGAAATAGCAAAAAAATTAAATGAAGAAAGAGGAAAAACAGAAAAACATTTATCAATGTTTAATATTGTTAATAGTATTGATAATTGTCCAGTAAGAGAATCAATTTTGATAAAAAATTTATTATTAAATATTTTCATTTTTTTTGTTAAATTTTAGCCAGAATTACTTGCTGCACATCGTGATTATATAGAAAAATTTCATGTTATTGAACTTTCACAAGAATTAACAACAACACGAACACATTTAATTCTTTTTCTTTTTTCTGATTGTCTTGAAGTATATATATCATCAAAAAACAAAAAAAAAAACATAAAAACGTACATTTTGATATTTTTATTTTCTTATTAGGTAACAAAATTACGTGTTAATATGTGGAAAACTCCTGGTATGAAAACATCGAAAACATACAAACATATTGCACTTATTCAATTAAGTGATATTCGAAGTTTATTTGATATTAATTCATTATCATTAACAATTGATGGTAAAAGTGATTGACTGATTTTTTGTTTTATAGATCTCGCATATTATGTTTTTCGAAAATAAATACAATGAGCATAAGTTTTGCGCCTTCGTCCCCATATCAATAAGGTGAAGATCGACGATTATTTGGTAGGTTTCCGTGGCAGACGAGGACAACTGTAGGACTAATTCTAGTCCCAATCATCGGAATCGAGAAGTTACTGAGATTGAGGCTACGAGAAAAAATTGTCTCGACCGAAATTAAAGATTATAGTTTTAAATATTCTATAGTTTTAAGCAAATTATTTTATAAATCATTAATTCTCTAGACTGGAACCGTGACCAAAAAAATCTGGTCGCACACATCTCTAGTAGTGATGTGTTGATTTGTCACAGACGTCATATGATCAACATAAAAAGTGCAGGGGGGATGGTACGACTGGGAACGTATCATGAGTATAACATCCAGGAATACAGAATCTTTTTCACGTGCATTCGAAGAAGTTTTATCGCAGATTACGCACACATTTTAACCCTAAAGAGATCCTGCTGACAAGTTTTTGTTTTTTTTTTCTTTCGTTTAAATAAAATTTTTCTTATTAAAGAAACTGAACAATTCGGAATACTTTGTTCAATTGATGGACAAATACGTCAACTTATATTTCGTGTTATTAATGGAAATACAAATACTAGTACTAATAATTCAAAATCTTATTTTACTGATTCAATGTCTCCATCATCATCGATTTCAACATTATCAAATAGTACTACTCATCATGGAAATACTAAAATCGATGTACTTTATCATTTATCTAAAGCTATTTCAGATGATCGATGTTTACTTGATAAAGTAAATTATTTTTTAAAATAACAAAAAAAAAAAAAAGTAATATACTATTTTTATTTTAGTCTTCACTTATTCAAACAGTTACTAATTCAAATAATAATCATCATATGTATTGTTCTCAAACATCACTTGAAAATTCAGAAAGTGATTCAGGTTTACGTTCAACTAGTAGTTTGAATTTATTAGGTTTAGCACTTAAACGGTTTGTTCTTTTGAATTAATTAATATTTTGAAAAAAGAAATATATATATATATATTCAAATTTTAGTGGTTTTCATAAAGCAAATAAACGGTTAAGTCGAGCTTTTTCATTCAGTCCAGAACCTAATAAACATTTATCGAAAAAAATCAATAGTCCAATTCATTTATTACAAGATGAATGGTCGAATACTTTTGATTCAAATAAACGAATGAGTGTATCATCAAGACAAGTAAGTTATTTTCAAATAATAACATTCAAATCAAGATTTCTTATGATTAAATTTCGAGTAATTTTAAATATTCATATATATAAATTGGAAATAAAATAACTCACCCATACCCACACCATTGTAATTCAATACTTAAAAACGCTTAAATAGATGTATGCATAAAGCAAAATCAATTTTCGCGTTATTTATAACTTATCGAAGTTGTAATTTTATGTCAATTTTAATTCAGTATTTTTGTAGAACCTTCAATTTTTCTACAAAATAAAGTATTACAATAGTTTAGAACTCCAAAAGTTCTATTTTCTAAGCAAGACTAAATATGTATCAAATGTGAACTCTGGCTCGATTTCTGAAACTATGCAAATAGCATCGGATGTTTCCATAATTGCTCAAGCATTTCTTGAGGTATATAGGAATCATCATTGAAGCATTCTAAAGTACGGTTAAATTCAAATTCGAGTATTTCCGAACATTCTTAAGTTTGCAGACCATCGGTTTTTGGATTATTTATTCTACTATGTGTAAGTTCATCATAGTCAAGCTTGAAATGCTTTCTTATGGCTTATTGCGAGTTGTTTTTATTAAGTAACTGAAAATGACGGCAGCCAATATCGAATTTGAACATTTTGTTATAACATCTATCCGAAAAGCAAATAGAATTTTATATTAATATAACTTTGAAGTCATTTCAAACATTTGATTTTAGTATATACTGTTACTTCAACTTGAATTTTGCGTATGTTCTATTTCGTTTTCTTTTGCTTAGGATTCATTCATGAAAACTGTTCATCATTTGGATTCTTCACCCTTTATGCAATCCATCCAAGAACGTAAGTTCATTGAATATTACTTTCAATTTATTTATTTCATTTATATAATTTTAGACTGAATGTGGAATATGCTCAATATTTTTTCCGTCCTTTTATGTCTGATATCTTTCACTTCTTATCTTTTTTTTTTGTACATCAGTAAACTCTTGTTCAATAGTACTTCAATGTATGTATGTATGCGTGTGTGTGTGCTTTTTTTTTGTCTTTCGGCCTTCAATCATGGAAATGGGTTCGCTTTTGCGACTGATAAAAAAAAAGAATATTTTTTTTTTGCTCAAAATAGAAAACTCATTTTTTTTCCTCTTGACGATTAATCCACTTTTGGAGTGATCTTCTAAAATACTGTTTCGTTTCGTAATATGTTATCTTTTTTTTTCTCTGTATATTGATCAGATGTGATCGAAAACAAGAACTAATAATAGAAAGAAAAAAAACAAACCAATGCAATCTTATGAGAAATGAATGACTCATCTTCTACATTGCATCATATTATTAACATCATGCTATAAATTGACATAGAAATTAAAGAGAAAAAACATTTTCTATACAAATTATTTTCAGATAATGGCAACATCGGACAACACAGACGATATTAATTTACAAAATTTAAAAGTCGAAGAATCGACTGCTCCACAATCGGAAGCAACTAGTGGTGCGGCATCTACAGACAAAGCAGCTAAATCAAAAAAAGAAAAACCAAAACAAGAAAAGCCTAAGCAGGAAAAGCCTAAACAAGAAAAACCTAAACAGGAAAAACCTCAGGCTACTGCAGAAGCACCTGTAGAAGAACTTGATTTTAATCGATCACAAGAAGAAGTTGTACAAGCTTTGGATCAATGGTCAAAAAAACCATCGACATTAAATAAACCAAAACCTGATGAAAAGATGTAAGAAATGATTCATTTATTGTATACAATGTTATGTTTTTATAAAACACGATCTAAGAGGAGCGCTCGATTATATCGGATAGAAGTTTGCAACTCTCTCCCAACAGACCATGACGCACACACATTAGCAACACTCCCTACACCACAGATTCTGATAGATGTTATTGGTATACAATCAAAAAACATAAATTAATAATGTCTCGTTATAATATACAAACTACTTCCTTATTGCATTTCTGACCAGAGTTCCGCGAGACGGAATGGAACGGGACAAGATCAATTCACTTGTACGTCCCGCCAAGTGTATATGTGGGAAGGTTGTGGATTTTCTGGAAAAAATAAAGGAGGTTTACAGAGCCTTTTTTTCAAGATTTTTGCTTTCGAGTAAAAAACAGAACTTTTCAAAGACCCAAAACTTTCCGCAAATCTCCCTTATGCTTTTTTCAGAGCACGTATATCCACCCCTCAAAAAATGTCGCCAATATATCTTTTCTCAGATCAGTTACTCGATGAGCATTATTTTGAAGTTGTACTGCTTATTGAGTTTTTCATTGTTTATTTTTGTAATAAAAATGTTGCCATGTAAGTATTACTTTGAAATAGATGTTTAGTAAAATAAATGATATAAGTTGAAGAAGACTACATAAATTCGTTGGACTTTTCAACTGTACTTTGACAAAGAAAAATTATGTCCAAGTGACAGAATGAAACGAGACACCGAACGGGTGAGACGACTTTGAGTCGCCCCTCAGAGCTCTGCTCAGTACCATGTAATTCGGCTGCTGTCAAAAGAAAGCTTTCGACAGCAGATCAAGTTGTCAATCAAAGCAGGTATAATTTAGGTCCTACAACGGTTTATAATATTTTCTTCGTTCAATAGAGAATAACAAAATAAAACATTGATTGATCTCGAACTCGTAGTCTTGTGTCTAGTTTTTTTGCTATATGTAGTCAAATAAATCATATATAAACACCTTATAAAGATGTGATGAGGCGAGACGGAGAACACAATAATCTTCCCATTTTAATCTGTTTCTGAAGAACTAAGTAAAAGGATAGTGAACAAATGTGTCTCAAAGTAGAAACAATCTCTCTGTGATTATCAACAGCAGCTACATCGTGTTTCACATTTTAATCCTGCACAAATTCTCCTAACAACTATTGTATTTTTTTCTGTTTGTAGAACACCAAAAGCTGATGCTCGAAATATTATGATAACAAGTGCTTTACCTTATGTTAACAATGTACCTCATTTAGGTAATCTTATTGGATCTTTATTAAGTGCCGATGTTTTTGCTCGGTAAAATCAAATAATTTCTTATTCACTTCTTTTCAATATTTATATTAAATTTAAGATATTGTCGTTTGAGAAATTATAATACTTTATATATTTGTGGTACTGATGAATATGGTACAGCAACTGAAACAAAAGCATTAGAAGAAAAATGTACACCACGAGAAATTTGTGATAAATATTATGATTTACATACAAACATTTATAAATGGTTTCAATTAGATTTTGATTTTTTTGGACGAACATCAACCCAAAAACAAACTGAGTAAGATTTTATCTTCCCTCTCTTTCTAGAAAAAAGAAAGTATCTATTTTATTTTTTCGTATAATTGATTGTATGATTAATTTTAGAATTGCTCAAGATATTTTCTGGAAATTACATAAACGAAATCTTATTTTTAATCAAAGTGTTGAACAATTATATTGTGATAATTGTCAACGGTAAAAAAGCACAACTTTTTAGATTATTTATTTCTTATACATTGATATATTTGCAGTTTTCTGGCAGATCGTTATGTAGCTGGTATATGTCCAGATCTAGCATGCAAATTTATTGATGCTCGTGGTGATCAATGTGATAAATGTGGAAAATTAATTAATGCTGTTGATCTTATTGATCCAAAATGTCAAATTTGTCGTAGTACACCAGAAATTAGAAAATCAGAACATCTATTTCTTGATTTACCAACAGTACGATAAGTCTTATTACGATATATTATCTCAAATTAATCATAAAAATTTTTAGAATGAAAAAATTCGAAAGAAAATTATCATTTCTATTTTATCGTAAAATCCTATTTAAAAGATACTTTTCTTTGATATTTCATTGAATACTTATGTATTCCTCTTACAGCGGAATTCATATCAGTTTGAAATTAATCTTCTAAACCTACTAAATATGAGTAAGACGTTTTCATCCTAGTTCTGATCACGATTGTACTCTTTGGAATAAAATCAAAACGTTTTATAAAATCTTGTTTTAAAATAAACTAAAAAATTCATTACTCTTTGTTTTTTTAAAATTAAGCATTCATTTTCTAATAACATAAATCATCGATTTTCTTTTCAACTTATTCATAATTCAATCAAATCTTTTAATTTCTAAAATCTTTCATTTAGTTATCATCCGATGTTCAATCATGGTTTCAAAAATCAAGTACAACTGGTCATTGGACAAATACAGCAACTGCAATTACTGAAGCTTGGCTTAATGAAGGTCTTAAACCACGTTGTATTACACGAGATCTTAAATGGGGTACACCAGTACCTTTAGAAGGTTATACAGATAAAGTAAACATTAATCTTTTCTTATACTAATAATTATAAAAATCTTTATTCTATAAAGGTTTTTTATGTATGGTTTGATGCACCAATTGGTTATATATCAATAGCAGCAAATTATACTGATGATTGGGAACAATGGTGGAAACAACCAAATAAAGTAAAATTGATTATATGATAAAAAATAAAATATTAATTTAATTTAATTTTAGATTGAATTATTTCAATTTATGGCTAAAGATAATGTACCATTTCATTCTGTTATCTTTCCAGCTTGTCTTTTGGGAACACAAGATAATTATACAATTGTTAATCATCTTTCGGGCATAGGTTATTATTGATTGTTTATTGAGTTTTTATTTTATTTTTTTTTTATAATCTTTTATTTTTAATTTTAGATTATCTTAATTATGAAGATTCAAAATTTTCTAAAAGTCGTGGTGTTGGTGTATTTGGTGATCATGCTCAACATACAGAAATTCCTTCTGATATTTGGAGATTTTATCTTTTATATGTTCGACCAGAAACACAAGTAAAATATTTTATTTTGAAAAGATGATTTATTATATAAGATTAATATAGGATAGTGTATTTTCATGGGCTGATTTAATGTCAAAGAATAATTCAGAATTATTGAATAATCTTGGCAATTTTATCAATCGGTAAAAGAAATTTATATATATATATATCAAAATAAATTTCAATTGTTATTCTATATTTAGAGCTATTGCTTTTTGTGAAAAAAATTTGGCTGGTAAAATAAGTGATGTTAATCAATTAGAAACACCATTAGATCAATTATTTGTTGCTCAAATAACTTATGAATTAAATGCTTATTTAGAAGTTATGGAAAAGACAAGGTAAATTCATTCTCTTTTTAGTTTTTGTATATTTAATTTTAAATTTCATGTTTTAGACTTCGTGATGGTCTTAAATGTGTTTTACGTATGTCTCGTTATGGTAATCAATATTTACAATTAAAACAACCATGGGCTAAATATAAAGGTTCTGATGCTGATAGGTAAAATTTTTTATTCAAAAAAAATACAACATTGAAAATTCTTTTTTTTTTTTTGTTTTATAGAAGAGATGCTGAAATAAGTATTGCTCTTGCATTAAATCTTGTTTATTTGCTTTCTTTGGTTCTTCAACCATTTATGCCAACAACATCAGATGAAATTCGACAACAACTTAATATTAACGAAAGTGTTTATGCATTAGAGAATGCTTTTCGTTGTTATTTACCAGCTGGTCATACTATTGGACAAGCTAAACCATTATTTAAACGTATTGAAAAAGCTTTAGTAGAAGAATATCGTTTACGTTTTGCTGGTCAGAAGAAATGAACGTCTTTTAAAAAATTTTTCTTTGTATTTCATTTGTTATTGATGTTGTTCTCATTTAACTAAGAAAAAAAAAGAATAAATATACGTGATCTACGTCGTTAATCCATCAAAGGAAACAAAAACCTATTTATGGTATATTAAAATTAGTAACGAAGTTATAAAGATTAAAGAAACTCTTTCTATACATATGTATGGTCTGATAGTGAAAACAATGCTCTACATTTCTCTAATATATTCATCAATCTTCAACCAACATTGTCATTATAAAATAACGAAAAGAGCTCTTTGTCATGTTAAGTGACAGTAATATTAGGCTGTATTTTGTCTTCGATATGTATCGTTTTCTTCATGTTCTCTGTTCTTCTTTTCTCCTCTAATATCTAGTCATCCATATATATCAGGATATATAAAAAATTATGTCAATAGAACAAAAAAGAAATACACAAACAACTTCATCAAGTTTTTATTTCATTAAACGTTCGAAATAATCATCCTAGTTATTCACACTCAATTGCAGAATCTATTTTTTTATACGTTTCTTTACGCAATGAATTCATAAACTTGTTTACAGTACGATGCAACGATCGAAAATCGTTTTAATTGCTTTTAAATATTGTTTGATTAAGTTGAATAACCACAAAAAAATCGCATGATGTCTATCTCAAAGAATTACTTACGTAAAAATTTAATGAATTTATTTCTATGTTGTTTTACCGCCACCACTTATTCTATACATTTAATATGTATAGACGACTAGGCTTTTAAAAGAGAGAAGACAAGAGAACATCAAGAAGAGAATATGCACCGAAAACAAATTTCGATCTAATATTACCGTCACACATCATAACAAATAGTTCTTATTGAAAGTTTATTAATATAGTATTAATTGAAGAATGATCAAATATTAGAGAAATGTAAAATCTTGTTTTTACTATCAGACCGTAGAGAGAGAACTTCTTTTTTAATTTTTGTATAAGGAATTAAAATACCATTGCCTTTAATTTTGTTATGTCGAAAGTAATTAATAATAAAATTTAAGTCAAATATCGACTGTCTAGATGAATTACAGTGCTAATTACAATATTGTATTCAAAAAAAAAGAGATTCTTGCTTTTGTGTATACTGATTAATCATTTATTTTCTATATAATAGTTTGCAGTTTTTAGAATTTATTACAAGCATCTACAACATATATATATATATATATATATATATACTATCATCAGATCTGCATACAATTGCTAAAGAACTAAGGAAAGTTTTTTATTAAATAGCTACAGTAAGAATGTAATATCTTTGCTACTGATAAGGTAAATAACTATAATTTCTACCATCCTAAACGAAGTATTTTATGATGACTAAGTCCAAATACCATAGCACCAAAACCAATAAGTGAACCAATAGTACGAACCGAATGAAGTATAGCCCATTTATCTAATAATTCTTTTCTTGTATTAACATTAATTTGACTTTCACTTCCTGATTGAACACGTTTATTATCTGCAATTATCATTTTATTTGTTGGAAGCATGCAAATGATTGTATATGGAATCATGCCAAGAAATATTGTTCCAGCAGTAATCCATAAATTACGATAATATTGTGTACCAATAATACGTGTCCCATGTAAAACACCTGCAATACCAGCCGTTGCACCAAATATCGATTGTGATAAAGCTGCTCTTTCATACATATATGGAAAAAATCGCCAATGTACATCAAGACCCAATGCATTCAAAGCTGGAACTTCACCAATAGTCATATATAAAGCTGTACCTGCAAACAAACCGCCAGCAATGACAGCGATTTTATCAAGATGATCGAGAATAGATGCCGATGTTGCAGACATAATAACAACAATGAAAAAACAAGATCTTCAATTAAGAATAAGAATTTAAATTTATTTGTTTGCATTATAAACAAGAATAAAGAAAAGAAGATGAAGAAGAAAAAAAAACCACAAAAAAAAACCTACATTGCATCAGATACAAGTTTTTTTTTTATACGTCTCAATCATTGTGACAACAACAACAACTACAAACATCATGCAGAATATAAGAAAACAAAAATAACAACGATGATAGGAGAAAGAAATTGACTAATCATATCTGACACTCGTTTATATTTATTTATTTTTCCTTCTTGTTTTTCAGAGGTAAAAATTCTGTCTTATATTAATCGTTCTTCAGGTGGCGGTTTTAAGATCATACTAAATTCTACACGTGAACTTTGACCATTTTCATTTAATGCTGGTCGATATGTACCTCGTGATCGTCGACTTTCACGTATACGACTAATAATAACAGTTAATAGAATAATTACTAATAATAATAATATAGCTACACCAGGCCATATAACATAATGATAAGAAAATCCCAATGAAGCAAAAAATTTCTAAAATGAAATATAATTTTAAATTTCATATTCATTAAGAAATTGAATGCTACTAGTTTATGATTTATCAACTATATTTCTAGAAAATCGTTTGCTTCTCAAGACTAACAAATATTTTGTTCAAAATCATTTATGCATCTATTCAGATCATAGAACAACATATCAAGTTGTTTATAAGTCAATAATCTTTTCTATGTTTCAAAAATGAGTTTTAAACAAAAAACAAAAACAATTTTCGACATAAAAAGTTTGTCATTTGGATGAGCATCTGCAAAAACTAAGATCTTCAAAATCAACTTTTGGGAAGAGATTTTATTTGATAGAATAAGATGAGACGCCTTCGATCTCTCTATGACTTTCTTTCATTTTAAACTACATTCAATTTATACAAGACTTCAATAAATTGAATGCAGTTCGATGAAGGAAGGTTATGGAAAGATTGGTAGACGTTTCATCTTGTTCTATCAAATGAAAGTCAAAAATCTGATTTTTCGTAGGTCTTTATTCAAGCAGTTTTACTGAAATATTTAAATCAACCAATACTAATATATTAATCAGCAACGGCCGCTGAAAATTCTCAATGTTGTTGTTTTTATTAAATTTCCTTAGTTTCGTAAAATAATGAAATGATAATGAGAAACTTGTATATTGAATATTTTCAAAAAATCTACTATCTATTTATTAAATAGAAAATTTCATTTTCAAGTTCAATTGATTTACTTTATGTTCACATTGAAGTCCAATAAAATTTTTTGTACATGCACAAATATATCCATCAATTTGATCAATACAACTTGCATTATTTTGACATGGATTACTAAGACATTCATTGATTTCTGTTCTACATGTTTCATCTTCATAACCTATTGAAATTTAAAAAAAAAATCATTCGAAAGAATAAACATCTTTTGTTTTTTGTTTTCTTCTATATTTACCTGTTCCTGTACAATTACATAAAAATCCTCGTTCATTATCTGGTATACATGTACCCTTATTTTGACATGGTATCGATTCACATGTTGGAAATTCACAATGTGAACCTTAAATAATAAAGAATTGTTTTTCTTTTTTTTTTGTTTTCAAACAAAATTTTAAATTATTTATATAATACCTGTAAAATTTGTTAAACATTCACAATAATAATGTTCACCATCAGGTCGACATAATCCATTATTAAAACATGGTGTATTTTCTAAACAAATATGTTTTCTTTCACAATGTATTCCAAGATAATTTTCTTGACATTGACATTTATAACTACCAGGATAATTAAAACATGTACCATTATTTAAACATATATTTGTTTTATTTATAATACATTCATTTACATCATATTGACATTTATTTCCATACCATTGTTGTGTACATAAACATGTTGCTTGTTTAGAAGGTAATCTTTGACAAGTACCATTATGTTGACAATTTAATTTTTGACATAAATCATTTTCACACCATTGACCACTATAACCATCACGACATTCACATTCTGTTTTAGGTTTATCAACATAAAGATTTAAACTTTTTAATATACATGTACCATTATTTTGACAAGATTTTAAATGACCAAAACATGTTTCATTAAGTGATATTGAACAATGTGAACTTATATAATTATTAGTACAATTACAATGATAACCATTAATTAAATCTATACATGTACCATTATGAGCACATGGAGATGATGAACATTCATCAATATTTGTTTCACAACTAAAAGAAAAATTAATTTTTGATAAATCTTAATAATGAATATTTCAATTTTTTTTTTCTAATTTCTGAAAAATGTTCAAGTATGATTCTAAAAATCGATAAACAACTTATTGTTTACGTTTATTCAGATACTCTTATGTTAAGATAATAGAGCAGATTGAACTAGGCTTTATCTTTGTTTTTAACAAATGTTCTGATCTTTCAGTTGCTTCAATAGCTTGATATCTTTCATACAATTCTTACGTTCAATCGCTGGAACTTTTCATACACACTAACTAACTAGAAGAATAGGTATAGACGAAATTAATGACATGCAGAAGAATAGTAGGTTTGTATCCGATAGAATTAGGAAAATTAAAAAAAAAATTTCTTGCCGAATTAAAGTATAATGATAGTATATTAACATCTGTAACGTGGAGAGGGAAGAATGCCTGTTATAGTGTTTTATCTAGATTTCCTCTTCTGGAAGGGGCACCGTCAACACGGCCCTCACCCTGGATAAAACACTAATCTATCGGGAAGTATCCAAATTTTTAACTCGATACTTCAACATTCTTTTTAGATCGTATTTCACAAAAGTCGATCGACACTCAAATATGAATCTTGCAAAAGCGAATAATCAAAAGAATATTCTACTTTTTCTTGTTTTAACATTTATCTATGATCAAATCTGTTTCATTCAATTAAAAATAACTTATACTTCTACGGCTATTGAATACTTTATCAATGTTCATTTTTTTTTCCTGATTGTTAATAATCTCATCGATACCCACTTATATACAGCTGTTTTACACTATTTGATAAAATTAATTTGTCTAGCCGCAACCATAAAAAGAATGGCAACAACTGTTACGAAAAATCATTATGAATAAGTAATAAAAAAAAAAAAAAATCTATATTTTTTATTTCAATTTAACTTACTATTTTCCAGTAAAACCTTGATCACATTTACATGTATAATAACCATCAATATGATCTTGACAAATACTATGTTCTTTTGAACAATTATTTCCTTGTTGACATTCATCAATATTTTTATTACAATAATCACCTTCCCAACCATAATTACATAAACATTTTCCTCGATCAAAATCATGTATACATTGTCCATGATAACAATTTAAATTTTTACATATATTATTAAATGTACAATTATTTATTTGTATATTATTTATTTGTTCTATAGAAATTTTATTAATACGTGTATCATTTTCAAATAATGTATCATTATAAAATGGTATATAAAGATTTTCACCTATTAAAACATATTCTAAACAACCACGAAAACCATTACCTAGAATAATTTCAATTTGATTATTTAATATAAATATATCATCAAATGTTAAATTAATTGAATATGTATATAAATGATTAAAAATTAATGTTAAATTATTAGACCATTGTAAATGAAATGTTGTCCATTGTTCAAATGTTTGATTATTTAATTCAATTAATAGATCATCATTTAATATTGAATCACGATAAATTAAATTATTATTCGTTAAATATAATGAAAAATAATTTAAATTTAATAAATTTTTTATTGTTAATATATGTGCTGTTTGTAAATGAGCACGTAAACGTAATGATATTTCATTTGATAATATTGAACTATAATTAAATATACCAATTAAATTACTTGAATTTCCTTCAAATGTTCCAATTGCTAAACATTCTTGATTATTATTATCAATTGTTTTACATATGAATCCATTTGGACAAAGACTACTGTTATTATAATTACATAGATTTATTTGTGAACAATTTTGGCCAAACCAATTTGATTCACATTGACATCTGATTATTGATGGAAAGAAGATAAGAAAAATAAATATTAAAAAAATTTTTATCATATGAATATACATATGACACCCAAAAAAAAAGCACAGAAGACAAAAAAAAAGACTCGATGTCGATACACTGATTTGAACTTTTCGACCGCAATGAATGAACAGAAAGAGAGAATTTAATTGTATTGTGACCGCCGTTCTGTCTCGTTCAGATTTACCTTTCCTATTTTTATTATAGTACAGTTAAGAGAAGAAAAAGAAGAAAAAAAAAAAGTTGTTCGCGTTCTTGTCATGAGAAAGTAACGTGCAATAGAGGTGACACGAAACAAAAGGACAGTGGCATAGCTGCAATTGTGTACATATAGTACTTAACCTAGAGAATAAATTTATCCACTCAAGGTTCAGAAGTTCGTCAAAAAATAAAATAAAATAAAATAAATAGGAGTGAAGTGTCGCACTCGAACAAAGACAGTAGACAGGATGTCTTTTTTTTCATTGATTAATCAAGCATGATATATATATCATAGAAATTTTTTTTTCGAAAATCTTTCAATCAAAAAAATTTGACTTACAAATAATCATATGAATTTGTTACAAGACAATTTGCTTGATTTTGACATGGATTATTTGGATAACAAGGATTATTTTCTAATTGTTTCATATTTAAAATTGTAATATTTAATTTTTTTTTTAATTTTGTTGTATTAATAAGTGAAATTAATTGATTATTTATTCTTAGATCTTGTAACCAACCATTTAAAGAACCATAAGGAAAAAATTGAAGTTTATTTGGTATAATTTTATTATTATGTATTCTTATTAATGATTCATTATAAATTCTATCAATAATTAAACGATTATTATTTAAATCAAGTTGAATTTGATGTGGACGACCATCATTTAATATTTGTTCATTACGTAATTCATATTCTTGTTGTTGAATTTCATTATCAATAATAATTAAATAAAAATGACCATTAACTAATGTACCAAGAATTTTTGATAATGTTCGATTTTGTAAAATTAATTCACGAGTAAAACGATTTTGTTTTGAAAATGATATAAGTTGAAATAATGTTCCATTTGATTGAAGTGTATTAAAAAAAAATGATATATTTGAAATTGATGGTGAAAATGAAATATCAATTAAACTCGATTGATTAAATATTATAATAGGAGCAACTAAAATGAATTAACCAAAAAAAATTTTAATAAAGAAAAAAAAAAACAATAAATTTTACTTTGATCACATTGTTCACCGAAAAATGGTGATTGACATTGACATGTATAATAAAACCAATGATCATGACATAATTCATTTTTTCGACAGATAGCATTTTCACAAGCATTTGTTCTAAAAGAAAAATCATTTTCTTTCTATGATCTTTTAAACAAAAGATAAAAAAAAAAGATTTTTATTTAATTTGATTTTATTCAAAGTTAAATCAATAGTTTTCAATATGATTATTGATTACTAAAGTGAAGTGTCGTGGTTTTTTTTTTGTATGTAGAAGATGAAAAGAGAATTTTTGTTTGATGTTAACAAAGCTTTGAATTAATAATCAGAGCTTTGCAAATGGATATTTTTATTCATTACTAACGTTAGATTAGCCATCAGAGATGCTCATGCGATATTATTTTACGCCCCATGGGTAAGATGCCTCACAAGCCAATTTTTATAAAATTATTTTCCGCATCAATGGAGAAACTAGGTTTTTGAAATTCAGTGTAGTAGTGACCGAGTGCTCTATGGTGGGAACTCATGGGGCATCCAATGAAACAAAAAAAAAGGATAGTAGCAAATACACAACGGAAAAAAGAGAGAACTATGTCAACTTCCAGTTCTGTTTTGAAAACTAAGCTCAGTAAACTATTCTTTCCACATCAATTTGGTTATTGAACAGTTGATTTTCTCCTAGCTCTAAATTTCCGATAGCTCCATTACAATACACCTGTGCAGTTTAATCACATGACTCAGAAGGATTAAAATGAAATGTTTAGTGAGACCAAATTCTTTTGAAAATATCTAATCACTAGTTCGAGGTCTATTTAATAAGAAAATTTTTACGATCTGATTATTTATCTTTTCATGAATTTCAAAAACTTCATTTAAACTATGGGATAAGAAAAATAATCACCCCCTGAGTTCAGACCATGAATGAGCAGAAGTTGATCTCTGTGGGTAAAATGTTGGAGTGATATATTGCTCCATCGTCATTCGAGGTATCACCCATCACCGATAAAAATATCATATATATATAGTTTCCTTGATTGATAAAATTATTTTGCAGTATTCTTAGTATGGAAGTTAATGAGATCTGTCAAAAATTATAACCTGTAATTCCGATTATTTTCAACCATTTGCCTTAAAAAATTGCTATAATAAGTTGTTTGCTCTAATCAAGTACTCCCTAAAGACTTCATGATCATAGCCATTGATAGAACGAAAATTTATGTGTAGATTATCACAGATAATTGAAATGTCAATACATCTCAAGATCACAACAGATTCGACTCTCGTATCTATGACATATTGAAGATATGCAAAGCTTTTTTTCAATCCAATGTATTACGACCGATTGACTTTGGATTAGTACTTGCAATTAGGATTTATCAAGCTTTATTTGTAGTAAAAATCTTTTGATGACTATTGACTTTATTTCGATTGAAACATGATATTTTTCACTCAAGTTTTCTAACTTCTGACTATTGAAATTATAGAATTTATGAAATTAATTTATACATTTTGATTTTGTTTAAGAAGAATGAATAGAGAAATTTCTTTTCATAGATTTTACTTTCTAAAATAAGATCTGACATACAGAATAATAAAGATTAATAATCAAATTCAATTAAAAAGATTTCTAGTCAAAGATGTTTTGACAAGAGATTTTAATGTTTTTTTTTTTCTTTAAAGCATAGCATATAGAAAAGAAATCCTATCGGACAAATTCAGATTAATTTGTTTAGTTATCTTATCGAGTTACATTTACAAAACCTATCACTTTTCTCTACAAAAAATATCATAGTATTCCGAGATTGAACATCATTCTTTATTTCTCTTTATCATGACACAGTCAAAGAAATTTCTCGAGAGAAAAGATTTCATCTTGTCTAAATTAGATTTTTTTTCAACTGATCCAAGCACATTAAAACATAACTGTTTCGAACCCGAAGCAGTTAATCGGAAAAAGAACTTTTCAAAGATTTGTTTAGAATTTCCTTCTACAGTAAGAATGAACAAGTATAATCAAATCATTTTTAACAGCTCAGATTTGTAAACCAAAGCGGTGCTTTACATAACATACTATTTACTTTTTGTATTTCATCTTGTACGTTAGATTTTAAAACTTTTACATTTCTTAAAAGCAGTTTTTCTGACACACGAGTGTTGAAGTGTAAGGATAAAAATTTGAATCTTCCTTTCTCCATAGATACCTTAGCAATACTCCTTTCTACACGTCATAGATCATATATCGATAACGTCTCGTAACTGTATGCTTATTCTTTACTAAAAAGTATTACAAAAAATTTCGCTTATTGTAATGTTGTCATTTTTGTATAAAATTCAGTACTCTACAATAATATTGAGTTGAGTCAAGATTTTTTTTACCTTTCACAACCAAGTTTTATATTTTTATTTAATTCAACTAATTGATCTGTTAATACAATAGAATATACTTGATTATATGTAATTTCAATTTGACGAATACAACCCGAATAATTTTTATATCCAAATATAATTTCATTTTGAAGTTCATATTCAAGTGAAGGTGATGTTATATAAAATCTTTGTGACATAGAATTTTTTCCAATACGTACATCAATCCATAAATGATATATATCAATAATAATCATTGTCCATTGTTCACGATTATCAATAAATGTTGATAACATTATTTTATTATCTAAATTCGTTATTATTCTATTATGATATAATTCTTGTTGAAAACGTTTTCCTATTGATAATAATGATATATGATTTAATGTTGTTAAAAATTCATATTGTATACGTATTGGTATTAATGTATAATGATATGGTAAAATTTTTGATATATTTATATATGTTTGATATAAATGAAATATTGTTGATATACTTGAACGGATAATTAATGATTTATTTAAATCTTTTTGTTGACGATCACAATTATAACCATACCAACCAGTTTTACATTGACATTGATAACCATTTATTAAATCAAGACATTCACCATGTGGTGAACATGGTTTAATATAACATTCATCAATATTTATTTCACAAAAAAGACCTGTAAAACCAGGTAAACATAAACATTTTATTGTATGATTATTTATTTGACATAAACCACCATTTAAACAAAAATTTTTATTTATTTGTATTTTACATAAATCATTTTTTTGTTCACAATATTTACCATAATAACTAAATGGACATTGACATTCAAATGTATTATTATTATTATAATCATAACATTTTCCATTATTTTGACATGGTTTTGATAAACATGGTGTTTGATATATTTCACAATGATTACCTTTATAATTTAATAAACAATTACATTTATATGTATGATATTCACGTTGACATTGACCATGATTTAAACAAGGATTACTTTCACATGGATCAATTAATTCTTGACAATAAATACCTTTTGAATTTGTTGAACATAGACATGTAAATTTATTTAATTGTGATAAACATGTACCATTATTATAACAAGGTTGACTTGAACAATAATTTATTTCATTAAGACAATTATCACCTGTTAAACCAGGTGAACAATAACAACGATAATTTGTTGAATTTATCCAAACACATGTACCACCATTTTGACAATTACAAATTGATTTTGATTCAATAGAATTATTAATACAAGAAATTAAATCTAAATAAAAGAAAATATTTTTAACTGATCAATCGTGTTTGTATTCCGATGATGTGTAAAAAGTAGTGTCTGGTAAGATATGAAAAATCTCCAAAAGGATAATTCCTCTTAGGTCTTCTATAGAGAGTTATAAACATTTTAATAGAAATTCAACTTCTAGCATAGTACATATCGACAAATTGAATGATAGTATTTCGGCCTGAAATATTTTCATTCAATTTGTTGGTATACATCAAGCAAGCCAAAGACTAAAATTCTACGTAATAAAGACAGAAAGCATAACGAAAATTATCCTTGGAAGTTTTTCATATCTCACTAGAGTTTCTACCTTATGCATTGAGTTCGAATTTAAGAGCAATTAATCAGTTGAAAATGTTCCTTCGTAAGAATGAGATTCTTATATGGAACAGCAAGTTTATCTTATATTGAGAGGGTGTGGATAGAAATAAAGTTTACTGCATTTTAAACTTTAATCACCGAAACAGAGATCAATGATATTTTGTTCATATGTTTGTGGCATTATTCTACAAAAAAATATCCTAAGAGAGTTTGAGTTAATAAGGCTTCTTTCGAAGATTATAACTATTTTGCTGATTATTTTTAACTAACACAAGGTATATACAAAAGAAACGAACAATAGAATTTTAATTTGAAATTTTCCTCATATGTATTATCCGTTTCAAAATAGAAGAGAGATACGTATTTTTTGAATAACTTTTGTTAGGAACATGGTAGAGAGCTACGATTCTCAATCTTTGGAAAGAATAGATGAAAACGCATCGAATCGTCTAAGACAATACCTTTTGATCCGGACTTTCAAACTTTATTAAAAAAAAATACCGCAAAAAACTAAAAAGCAGAGTTTTTTTTCACAGAAATTCCTGGCAATACTACCCATAACATCCGAAGCATTAAATCTTTATATAGTTTTGTAGATCTTCAATTGAGGAACTCCTAAAAGTTGAAAAATTCATTTTTATGACTCGATCTGATGCGTTCGTGTTTAAAAATTTACCTGAAAAAAAAATCATATAAAACTTGTCGAAAATAATGATGTATTATACGATTCGATGCATTTTGATCGTCTCTTTCTAATGATGAAAACCCAAATTCTCTCTCTCTACTTGCATTCAAACTGCAAATACTACAGTTAGATATGAAAAGATGATAATATGAATATAAATTCAAATCGATTTATTATGCAAAATTAATATCTTATTATCAATTCCAAATGTATCGAAAATCTTAATCATTAAATCATCAGATAGATATAAAAATTTTTAAATCTATATCTAGATATCTTCATTTTTGACATTAAAGACTTCTGTATAAATATCTAATATTGTTTTTCTTTTTAATTAATGAACTATGTAGCATTTTTAATCTCACACATCACAATAATCTCGAAGATTGTATTCCACATAGGTTCAAATTTCATCCATTATATTTTAACAATTCTTTTAGTTCATAATATATTTCTATTCAATGAATATGAATATTAAACTATTATGACTTACTTGAAGGGCAATGACATTGATCAAATTTTTGTTCATTAATACATGTAAAATATGTATCAAGTATTTGATCTTGTTCTGTTTTACATAAATATGTTGATAATTGATTGATTTGTTTTAATTTTTCTGTATCATTAGCAATACATAAATTAGGATCAATACATTTTATTGATAAATTTGCTTGTTGTAAACGTTGACATTCCAATGGAGAATTCTCACAAAGTTTACCTATTAAAATATAATAGAATCAAAAAATAAAACATCATCAAGAACTATTTTATAGCAAAAATTATATATTCAATCATACCAAAATATCCTCTAGAACATTGACAATAAAAACCACCATGATAATTAAAACATGTTGCATTATTCATACATGGATTTGAAATACATTCATCAATATCATATTGACAGACATTACCTGTATATGTTGATAAACAACGACATTGAAATCCATTTATCTAAATAAAAAACAAAAGCAAGATTAATATCTTTTTTTTTTTATAGAGTTTTAATTTTAATAAAATCATACATCATTAATACATGTACCATTTTGATTACATGGTTGTGAAAGACAATAATCAATAGCTTTTACACATGTTGAACCAATCCAGCCTGATGCACAATAACATCGATATGAACCAATTTCATTTACACATCTTATAAAGAGAATAAAATATATATTATCTCAAAATAAATAATAATTATTTCAATTGAATAATACATACGTTCCTCCATTTCGACATATGGATGGAAAAATAGCACATTCATCAATATCTTCATCACATCGTATACCTGTATATGTTGGTGGACACATACAACGATATTGACCACCTTTTAAATTATAACAAGTTGCATTCGAATGACATGGTGATGAATTACAAGGATTTTGTTCAACACATAAACCATCTGCATCTTAAAAAACAAACATCAAATCTTTATTATTAATATGCAAAAAAAAAAAAACAAAAATTTTGTTATATATACTTCGTATAAAATTTGATTTACATTGACAATCAAATGAATTTAATCCATCAACACAATGTGTATTATTTTTTGAACAAATAATACCTTCACAATCATTTATATTTGTTTCACATCGATGACCTGTAAAACCTGGTCGACATGTACAACGAAAAACAACATTATCACTTTCAAGAATTGGATGACATTTTATAGCATCATTTAAACATGGTTCAGATAAACATGGATCAAGTGTCTAAAAGAAAGTAATAAACATGAAAAAACTCTTTTGTTTTTTATTGTATTTTTGAAGGATTAAACAAAAAAATAGTGAAGAAATGTGTTTCAAAATCGATAGAATAAAATAATCTTCGTAAAGTGATAGAAAAAAGTTTAGAAACAACGATTTTTTTTCATAATGTTAAGCACGTAACTTCAATTCAATATACTTTATACCAAGATTTCACAGATAAACAATGTCATCTTAAAGAGCACAAAATTCTGAGCAAAATGAAGGATCGCCGAGTTTTCTACGACCTTCTCATAAAAAGTTACAAGCATCACAAAACTCATGAAAAAACGGATTTTTTTTAAAAATCAACTAAAAACGCCTTTTTCATGATTTTTGCGATACTTGTAACTTTTTACGAGAAGTTCGTAGAAAACTCGGCGATCCCTCATTTTGCTCAGAATTTTGTGCTCTTTAAGATGGCATTGTTCATCTGTGAAATTTTGGTATAAAGTGTATTGGATAGAAAATTCCATTGTCTATTAAAATCACTATTTGGATTGGAATTACGTGCTTAACATTATGAAAAAAATCACAAAAAATCGTTGTTTCTAAACTTTTTTTCTACCACTTTACAATTAGTAACAGTAACTACATCGTATTTCACATTTTAATTCTGCAATGATTGTGCGCTAACAGGTTTTTATTTTTTAATCTGTTATATTTCATTCCTTAATTGTAATAGAAAAACTCAATACGAATATTAATTCTTCGTACCATTTCACAATTTTGTCCACCAAAACTATCAAAACAATCACATTTATATGTTCCTGGTAGATTAATACAAGCTCGTGCAGCTTTACATGGTTGTATTGTTTTACATTCATCAATATCATCTGAACAATCAACACCAGTCCATCCTAGATCTAAATATGAAAATAAATAATTGCTTTTCTTTTCTTTTTTTTATCGTTTTCTCTTCTGTATAATCCTCATACCACAAACACATGTGTAACTATTTGGTAAATCAATACAACGACTATGTTTTGGACATGGACTTGATTGACATTCATCAATTGAATATTGACATTGATCACCAGCAAAGCCTTGAAAAAATATTGATATTAATTAAGTAAAAAAGAAAAGAAGTCATTAACTTTACCAGATGGACAAACACATTGTGTAACATTTCTTAATAAATCAACATAACATATACCTCGATTTTGACAATGATTCTGTAAACAACGAACAGGTATTGTTTTTAATCCACATTCCAAATCTGAAGAAATTAATATTACAAACAAAAAAAAACATTGACTCTCAATATGTCTACATTTACAACATCAATATAACTACTTTGCATAGATCATCGATAAACCTTATGAGAAACATATTAGTTATAATATTACAGAAATTAATAATTCAAAAAACAAAAAAGAAAAGCATCACAGAAATGATTTATGAATATTTAAAGAAAAAACTGCTAACATGCCCAATTTCGATTGTATCAAATGGAGTATTTCACAGCGATAAGTAGAAAAATCATGATCGAAAAAATCTGAATTTAGGTATTTCTATAATAATCATATTATAGAACATATGCTATAGGAATATGTTTATAATAATAAAACTAAACATTCTAATTTACCAGTAAATGGTCGACAATCAAATATTTTAAATAATGGACAATACTGTTCTGCATTATTCGTTGATGTACATGTTCGATGTTCTATAAAATAATTAACACAAACAGAAAAGAATTGTTTTGTTTATTGTTTAAAATTCTTTTTCACTAACCACAAGTTTTAATATTAATTAAACAATTTTTAAATTTTGTATGAAAACCTGAATGAGGTAATAAACATGTTACATTTGTTTGTTGTTCATTAACAATTACATTAACATTTAATTTAGTTGTTGTTAAATTTTTATTTGGATAATCAATTAATGGTATTAAACGTGTTTCATCACCATTAAATGATATAAATACTTTCGATAAATAATCATTAAATGTTATATTAACATAATGCCATGTATCAATTTCATGATAATAATCAATAGCTGTTTGAAATTGATAATCAAAACTAGCTGAATAAGGTAATAATAAATTAAAATTTCCAAATTGATATTCAATTTGTTCATTATTATATATATATATAATATGTAAACGAAAATCTTTTGTAAATAATTGAAATAATTGACTATTTGATAAATAATAATGTTCAATATTAATTAAATTAATATTAGGTAAACATGTACGATAACTGAATGTTATACTTTTTGTTGATATTTTATGTATTATTATAATAAGAATAAATAGAAAATAATAAATAAAATTATTTATTAGTTTACCTTGAAACATTTTAAATTGTCTTTTTTTCTTTTTTTCTTTCCTTCGTCAATAATGACAATGCATAGGGACAATAATCATCTTCTATATTCATTAAACATATACATGTCGAATGACGACGGACGGACAGGTCAATAAAAGTATTATTTGAAAACATCAAACAAACAAACAAACGACAAAACGAAATAGGAGACGAAGGAAAAAAGAGAAAAGTGACTGACCCTCTCTTTGACAAACGAAGAGTCGAAGAAGAAGAAGAAGGAGGAGGAGGAGGAAGTTCATATATTTGACGTTTCAATTTCTCGTGCATACATTCTCGGTGAACGAAGAAATTAGATATATGTTAACATTCGATAATCTCTTCTACTTTTTTCTTTTTCTCTCTCTTTAACTTAACATGTATATGTCAATAAGAATGTAAAGAAAGAATATATTGAACAAGAAAAACTACATAAAACTTTTTTTTTTTAATATTTTTTTCCTATTATTAGCTATGAATAACAAGAGATGAGTTTGATATTTTATTATCAGATCATCTTTCACACTTGATAATAGCGTGTACATTTTTTATAATTGGATATCTATACAATAAACATGCGTGCAAATATTAAAGGTATGATAGATGAATTAATGAGAAAATAATCATACCTATTAAAAGTAAAAAATATATATATATACAATGAATGATCATTTATCAACTGATCATTCATTATTAATGGGCGGAGTAATATTTGATACATTAATTTTAGTTTTGATATAATGTTCTAATGAAATATTGTAGAGACTTTGTTATTTTATTGTTTGTTACGTAAAGAAAATTTGAAATGTATTTCGAAAGGTATGAAAATCTTTAAAAATAAAATTTTATCTATTAACAAATGCTATCGTTTTATTGTGTCTATTAATTCTTCGGTGTTGTAGTGAACTGACTTTATAGTTTTTTGTTTAGTACTATATTAATATTTGTTCTTTCGGATCATTTCTCTTCTATTGTTTCTGCATCAATGGTGTTATAGGTATAATTTTTCGTGTTGTTAAATCTGCCATCTGTTGTCTTCTAATAGATTCATTGGTAAATAGGAATGATTCACATGTTCTTGAAATCGGTAGACTTCAAGAGAGTAATGAAATTTCGAAGTGGAAGGCATCAATGAAAAATTGCAAATTATTATATTTTGAGAAAACTTCATTTTCGTGTTGTAAATGTCAAATTGAATTCTTATATAAATAGTTGGTTGCTCAATCTCTTGTATATTAAATCAATTGTTTTAATATCATATGGAAATCTTTCGTTGTAATGAATAGCTAAAATTTATGATGGAAGTTATGAAAAATTTTCTTGATAGTTTGTTTTTGATCTTTGTGAAACATTTCAGAACAAATTCTTTTATATATTTTTTTGTATACTAGATATTTTGATGTTTCTAATAAAAAAAGAAATGAATTAAACCTCTGTAATATGACACTACAATGCTATATCGAAGATAAAATTAATGTCAAAATTTTGTCATGTTCATTGGTTTTTTTTTTTTTATGATTGAAGTTAGAAAAAAGAATTTGATATACTTGTTATTGCAATATCACTGTCTTATTGAACAAGATGAAGAAACATTTTTCTTCAAGTAATACTATGATATTAACAAACAGCAGTGAATGAATATCAAGTTTGTTTTCTTCATTAATCTTCAGTGTTCGAGATGTAGAAAGAGAGCTATTTGATACTTCTTATGTGTTATTTCTATAGAAAAAAATGTTTACTTACTGGTGAATTCTAAGAGTTAGATCTGGTGATATATATGATCAAGGGTCATTATGTGCATTGATCAATGATTTAAGGCTACGTATTCATTATACGATGCAGTATTAATCATCATTTTCATGACTTTGCTGATTGTACATTAACTTATCTTCTAGACTAATCTTTGGTATTATGTTTCATTTTGTTTGTTAGTTATAATGAATTTTCGTTTCTCATAAATATTTATTTCTATACATACTTGTTTATCTACTGCACTTTACCATCATTCGCATTGAAACTCCTTTTAACATTGAACTATTTTCAATACTCTGTTAGAATTCAATTTAATTAACTTCTATTTATTAATGATGAATAGTTTAAATATCATCGATGAAAGAATGAGTAGTTTTACTACATCACGTTAACTAGACTGATGTTTTTTTTTTCTAAGTTGTCTTTTGTTGACGAAACCATAATATTTCTTATGCATTCTGAGTATTCGAAGAAATATTTACATCTACGTCTATTTCATGTTCATTTACTTTAAATATATCTCTGTTTTTTTAAATTTTCTTCTACTTTGAAACAGTACGAAAAAAAAAACTATTTAATTTATAATGATTTCTTGACTACATCAGTATCCACGAAAATAGGGCATTGATACAAATTGAGAATTAAATAAATTTCATAACTTAAGAATATGTTTTCTAGCAAAATTCGGTCTGATTATAGATGAATGAAAATGAATAAGCAACATAGTCACTATAGCGTTCAGTGAGTGACGACAACTTTTTTCTCTATAATACATGTAACATGATTTCACGTACAATATAAGTGCGAATTGTAAATAAGATATTATGTATATTCTAAAAATTAACGTCAAAACACATTTTTCTCTAGAATATATCACATGAAGGAGGTTCAACGAGTGAATACACATATTTTTCATTTTTTTTACATATGAATTTGTCAAAACAGACTTATCATGGTGCTAAAATAGGTCTGACAATCTAATTTGTCCACTCAGTGTGTTAAAATGAATTAATAAAAAAAATCAAAAACATTCGTTTTAACACATTAGCTCTACTCATACATCAAATGAACGAGTTACAAGGAGTTTTTTTGCTGAATCGAAATATGTTAGACCACTGTTGAACAACTTACCTGTTTGTGTATGTAGTCTTTGCAGTGAATAGATACTCTTGAAAAGACAACTCAGAACAATCTGTTCGTTCTAAAGCATCGGAAGTTCTCTACAATCAATGTTTTGATCTTGTTTAGGACACATTATTACTGTTTGGATAACCATAAAATCTAAAGCAGAACACATTCTTTTGAACTGAAATTTTGGCTACAATCAAATAGTCGCAAGTCTATCATAAAGCGACATTTCAGATCGAAATTTTGTAATTCTTTTTTGTCCCTATATATTTTCACAACGTGCAAAACTTCAGTAAATAATCATAATTCGAGAAGAATACCGTGCAGGATTAAATCCTCTCGCAAGGATCTTCTGGCTTTTTTAAGGTTTAGTTATGTACGAAGTATGAGTTCGGTTGATGGTCAACAATTAGGAATATTTTCTCTGTATCAATATAAGCTGAATATAGCGACCAGATGTCTTATTATAACATACGCGGTATTGCACAAAACTTGAACAACATATTAAAAACTTATGGAAGTAAGTATGAGTTGAGATAAATAGTTCATATTTTTAGTAAAACTGAGATGGTTTAACTTACACAGGACACATCTTTTGGTCTAATTTTTGTTTTCAAATCAAAAACTGATCCAATCTAACTAGCTATCATTCTGTTACTTTTTTATCTTCGTTAGATAGTGCTCTTGAGGATGAGGATGTTTTGTCTCTAACCTTCAACGCTTCTTTGATATAGCCTTTACCCAACACACGCACACTTCCTCATAAAATCCTCACTGCAAGTCGAAAAGTGTGGTTTTTGTTTGATATGTCAAATAAATATATTGTCACATCAATCTCAGCTTTTGCGCTGAACAAGATTTGTTTTTCTCGCCATATGAATTAGTTCACATTCCGAAACATTGATGCATTCAATAAAGAAGCTTGTTTCTACATCTTCTAAAATTTTATATATGTGAATACGAAATAGTCAATTATTATTGTAAATCATCGAGTACATGTAGAAGAAAAATTTCATAGTAAACTATGACTGTTTCAACAATGATGATTCTTTTGACGATGATGGGAGTGCTTCTTTTTATGATGTTTACCGTGACCTTTGCCGCGTCCTTTGTCTTGATGACTGTCGTCAGAACTACTAGAACTACTACTATGACGATGCCGATTCTTGGAGCCACTACCAGAGCGATGACGATCTCTTGAATCATTTCGATGATGATGACAATCTTTGGAACCACTCCTGTGATGATGTTGATCTCTGGAACCACTACCAGATCGATGATGATCCCTCGAATCAGTTCCATGGCGATGGCGATCACGAGGATGTTTACAACCTTGATCTTTTCCAGAATGATCATCGCTATCACTTGAGCTAGAGCTACTGCTTCGACCTCTACGATCATCATCGCTATCACTTGAACTAGAGCTACTGCTTCGACGTTTACGATGATCAGCGTTCACATCACGAGAACCACTACCATGTTTTCGACGTTCTTGTTTGGGTTGATCACGATTGTTTCCTTTATTTCGGCGTCCGTCTAGCTGATTTTTTATTGCATCATGTAATTTAATTAGATTTTCGAAGACAGAATGATTGTTATGGTTATGTTGCTTATCCCAATTAAGTGACATTGAATTGATTACTGATAACCGCAAAAATTAATCTGAAATACAAATATCACTTATTAGATTATAATAGTCACGATTGATGTAGAACATCAATCAATTAATCAATGGATGATCGAAAACCATATCAAACGAAACCATTACAATACTCCAATAGTCGATTACTAATATATATACATGAATACAAATCATTATATATTTTGTATCGATCAACTTATATTGCATCGTATAAACTTTATGAATCATATGCTTTGAGTTATAAAATACACCTACTCTGATCCTACAAAAATATCATATTCTTGATATAGGATAAGTAAAACAAATGGAGTGATTCACCAATCGAATATTAATCACTAAAACAACACTATCAATAAAATGGAGGTGTCTTTGGGCGAAAACAGTTGCTACCTAATTTGAGTGTTCTGCACCAACATGAATACGAGTAATAATGCATACATTTATCTATACCACAATATTGACTCGAAGTTCGCATTACTCTTTGTATGCTTACTCTCATGTAAAACAGGAAGAAAGAAAACAGTGTGTAATCCTAGTAAGCGAACAAAAATCAAGACACATATCTTTTACGATATTTTCTATGAAATTTCGTTTTTTGCAATAATTTATATACCTATCGATGCTAATTTAATAAGGATAAGGAAAAAGGCTACAACTTCACAACTACTGCTGTCAATCAAGTTTTCATCATCTCTATACTATTCATGATGGATGTTACGACTTTCAATAGATTATTTAGTTAATAGAATTTCATCAGGATTCATAATAACTGTGATGAATCTTGCCTATTGGGTATTCCAGATTTTTCATTATGTCAGCCATTAATTTGAGGATGTGATAAGAACTTCTATTGACAGATCGCATACACCAAAAATAAATGAAATAGACCATTAGACAACGTCGCTGTGATGCAAACAAAATTATTATTTCAAATTTGGTGATCATAATCAAATACAACAACCATGCTATAGAAATGTCATATATTTGTAAATCGTAAATTCGTACAAGTTAAGCGTGGCTGCGTATGTGCGGATGATAGTAGGATTATATGAATATTTTTACTCTCGCATCATACTGACAATGTCATATTTCATCGATATGCTCGTCTTAAAGTCATCAGTCGCCCTCAGTTAGAAGAAATCCTCATGATTTAAAAATATAGCTTCTCCAATGGCAAAATACTGAATAATAGTTTTACAATGAATACACGAACAGAGTAATTTCAACTGAAACGATCGTATATGTTTTAGACTCTTCTCTTTGCATAAGCCTATGTAGACAAAAGAGTAAATATAGGAGATAGGTGGACACTAATTACTGAATTCTTGACGCGAACAGAGAGAGAGAGAGTGAAGACAAGAGTTTAGCCTTTACTATTATCCTTAGATCGCATTTTCCACCTGACACTCACTTACGAATCACTTGCCTTCATCCTCACTCCTACTATTCAATCTGAAAGGAGAAAAAAGTCTTCAAAAAAAAGTATCTGAATTGTTTTCTTGACCTCTTTAAAAGACTTGAGTCTTTTAATATCGCTTGTGACAATACTAGCTGTCACCTATCTTCTGTTTTGCTTGCTATATGTATATTTATTTATCTTTGCGACTGCTTCACTTTCTGTACTTTGTCTGGCGCCCTTTTCATTTTGATCGTTACTAACTAGGATGGGTGTGGGTATGGGTGTTGTTCTTTTAGTCACACCCACAGCCTACGTAACTAATCGAGGAGAGAAAGGTCCATAGGGGTGATTCGATATGCTATGGACCACTGTTCTTTGTGAATCACTTTCTCCTGGAGTAGGGTCAGGAAAAATATGTTTGCAGACAGGTCAAGAGAGTACCGAGAGTTAGAACGATTGACTGCAAGAAATATTTCATGTATGAGGCAACTCTAAGAAATCAACTGCAATTTCTTTTTCTTGTGATCGTGTTGCAAATTTTTAGTTCGATTCAATTACATTGACGCGCTTTTGTTTTTTTAAAGAGATACTAATAAATACTTTGTGCCCTCAGAAACTATGGTTTTCTAGAGTAAATTCATTTTTCACAGTGTAGCTCATGAAGAGAGACAGGAAATTGTTTGTTGCATACTCTTCCAAAACAGTAACAGATTCCGTTGTTTATACTAGTCATCGATAATCACTTTTTATTAGCCGCTCGTTTCATCTGTCAAATAATTTTCCCCTACTACATTTCAGTCAATAGACATTTCTCATAAACGTCAGCATCAGTGAATTCGTCAAAAAGAGTATCACGTTTGGGTAAGACCTTTCGAAATTTAGACAAAAAATATTTAAAAAGATTGAACCAGATGATTAGTCGTTTTTAGCCCGCCGGAAGCTTGCACCGAAAAGTATCGGTCAGATCAGGCCGCAGGACTATCTGGTCCACTTCATCCATTGGCGTGGTATGTTTCTCGTGGAAATGATTAATCTAATTTTATGCAAAAGCTCAAAATAACCGTCTTTCTTTGTTCACATGAATCTGAAATCAGAAAGAAGAGTCATTTATTTAGAATGATGATTGAAGTGATAAATTAAAGATAGTTCGTTGATTCGACTTGTCTGTTCAGTTAACGATTATTTACCGTCTCAATAGTACGCATCTGCGACATAATCATAGTTGTTGTCGTCGCCACATAAAAATTTCGACCCGTGATTCGTCGATATATATAATTCATTGTTTTAAGTAATTCTGTTCGAAAGATTTGCGCCGAAAGAGTGTACACGAAAAAGCCGAATGCATGAGAACCATAAGATAAGATACGTACAATTGCTCCACATAAATTATCTTGTGCGCTCTTTAGGGAGGATTTTTTCACATTTAACGTAAATGTGTCATACAATTTTTGACCAGCAAATGGAACTGTGAAGACGATGATCAAAGCCACTTGCATGAGAAGCATTACCAACAATTGACCATCACGTCTTGCAGTTCTCTTGGACTGTTGTACACCATTCGGTAACACTTGACGACGAGTTCGTTGAAGATTGCGAAGAGTAGCTAAACCAAAGACTAACATCATTAAAGGTGGACCCAATGCATAAAATACAAGGTATTGAAGATCGGAAAAGATACGATAGGGTCCGGCTATTGCATAGCATGTCGTTGAAGTAGAAGTTTTCTGAACACCGAAGTAAATCAGCACATTAGAAAATGACACGATGCATATGATGGTAGTTATTACAATGACTAGACGAGCAAATGACACACTATTAAAGCGTCGCTGCACTTTTATGCTCGATGCCCATCGATCAATACAGGCCAATAACACAAACCATGTTGAGAGTGTTCGTGAAACATATGTAAAAAAGTATCTCGCTTTACAAAATGAATCCGATGTCGTACTCGGATCTATTTTATAGCCATCAGAAAAAATTCGTGTAAGAACAACCCAATAGAGTACAACAAGGTTGGCAACTGTATTTCCCATGAGATAATGTGTGCATGAATTGATGGAAAGATTTCGACGAGTAAATATTATAATATTTAAAATTACACCGATTGTACCGAGTATAAGAAATGGTAATGGTAAATAGCGATTCACCTGTATGTTCATATAGTTAAGCCAAGCAGTCGTATCCGATGCTGTCGAAGATGATGACATGATTTTTTAGTCTAAATGCAATTTCCGCTTGTAGTGAATGCATTTATTCAGGTGACATTTCTCATTTTCTCTTTTTCTTTACCATAATGTTTATTAATATAATTGCTGAGGCAAGAGAGTCATGTAAGGCTATATTTTCTAAAATGAATTCCCATTCGTTGATTAAATAAATGCAAATCTACTGCAGAGTATGCATGACAACAATGTCAGATAGTAACTAGAAGCCATATTAATGCAAGAGAGTGGATTTGTATATTTTTATGCGAGAGAGAAATGAAGTCAGTAATTATTCATCTCATTCTTCAGCTCACTAGAAAAAAAAATTCTGAATGCAGCGAATAACGCAAAATATTGTCTGAAAAACTTTTATTCTTTCAGATCTTCATAAAGAAGGCTTAATATTTTTCCGGTGTATGAATATTGATTGATGTTATTCATGCCTATTCTGAATTTTCAGTTCAATTGGCTGAGAAATGACTTTTTCAGACTTCGTTGAATATCTATTTGTTAAGTTTGAATCGATTCCTAGAAGAGAAAAAGGAGTGCTATCATATTTCTAATAGAGAAAAATCGATGTGTTGCAAGTTTAAAAGGTATCTTTTCAGTGCTCTAAGACACGAGACTATGTGTCTACAAGTTTGTACAAATCTATCGAAAAACTTTTTATCTAATACCCTTAAATCTTGATCACTTAACAGAAAAAACTACCGTCTTTTTAATTACTTCCGTTCTTTCTTTGTTCGTAACACATTTATAGCTTTTTTGAATTCAATTAGAAGAGATTTATTAGATTTATAGCTGGAAGAGAACATTTCTTTATCTTCAAAGCGCATCGTTTTTTTTTTTAATAATTTTTGATACAATCAGAAAATGTAATTACGCATCATATTATATTCTTGCCTATAGTACGGATATTACGCGCTGCTTCCCACGGCCAGTGAAGAAATTACAGGGGGTGGAGCAACTCTAACAAAGTTTGAACGTTATGAAGCACTGCTATTGATGTGCTTATCTCCCTGCTACGATAGTTTCGGCTTGTGACTGAGCACCTGCTTTTCATTTTCCTATAATGGTGGAAATTTATTAGACACTGCTCACTATTTTCGATCCAAAAATCTATTCGAGTTCTTGGAGAGCAATATTTGCTATCAACAACTTCAGAACACAACAGTTCGTTCAATTCTTGGCTGTGTTCATTCTCATACATTCACGTCAGAAACTTTATCATTAATTTGTTTTTAATTTTTGTGAGGAGGAGGCTGCATGCGTATGATTATATTTAGTACAATAACCGATTTTTCTCCAAATTTTAGATCTACTTACTGACATATTTTTCATGAGAATGATTGATACTGGGAAAAGTTAGAAAGTTATATTGGACT